ACTGACCCTGATGGGATTTTGGGCAAATTGTTCAGATCAGGAGGGCTTGATCCGCTTGAGGTGGACTCTTTGATGGACATCGTTATCTTATCAGATCTTCTGCATCGTGTTTCACAGCAAGGACCAGAGTATCACCATCTTTTACGAATTGAGGATCTGGAAATTCGAACAACCATTGTTTTGACCTTTCTGAGCCCGTCACTGCCTGGAAGGTGCAAGGGTTATTTTAATGCTGTGATCCAAGGAGCTCATCATTTTTTTCACCACAAGATGCCCACTGTATGGAATGTTCCTCTATTGCTACAACAGAACCTCTTCCATGTTATATTGTCCCACGAGAAAGTGCTTCCACCAAATTTGGTGCTGACTACTCATGAAGCCATTGAAATGCTGGATTTCTTGCAGCCATGCCCACCTCCAGTGTGTGAATCGATCAAGCCAAACACATAACCTTCTTTGTTGAAGTGTGCCTGCCGAGCAAGGGAGACAAATGACACCATGTGCAAATCCATTGATGTATTTGTTCACCATTATGAAACCAACAGCAACAGCAGAAAACCAAGAAACCAAAGAAATTGGAATTGTGAACTAGAAGTGGGCTGTGCATTCAGCAAGTCTTCTGCAAAATTGATGTAGAAGTCTCCAGTGCGGCTTGTTTATATTGTCGACTTCATGGTGTGCACTTGACACAATGAAACTGTTCCTTGTTAGATGCCATTGTGGTTTGATTGGAATGCAGTTTGATTTTCTCAAGTGCTTGTGATAGGTTTGAAGGACCCCTGTGCCTCATTGCATGAAACACCTTGGATAGTTTTCAATTGTCAGTGTGTATGGAGAACTGCTTCCCACAAAGTACATGCACAGACACTACTGACAGCTGTCAGTCATTCATTTACAAAATCCGGAGGCCACAACAATTCGTGGAGATGTGCCTTTCGTTTCCTTCAAGTTGCAAGGGCAGAATTATGTCGTTTGATCACTCAGTCTTGTCAAATTGGATGTACCATTAGCAATGTTTCAACACAAATTGCCTTCAGGGGTGTGTCACCCCCCACGGTACTCTAGCACACAAGATGCAGCAGTTTCTTAGTTGCAGGCACAGATAGAATGCTCAATTCCATTGACGAATACCTATATTCATTTCATTGTTCGATCATCCTGATGTTGCAGCCGTTAGGACTTCCTTGGCGCAGTTTATATATCTGCTGTGGATGTTCATTGACAAAGTCGTGTTTTCTTGGTGTGAGATGCGGGCATTGGTGGAGCTCGAGTTTCTTTTTTGATTAATCCCAATGATGTTCTTGATAGGGACCCATGGATGTAAGCAGGGCTGTCGTCAACCCTGTATTCCGATCAGCACCATGGGATCAAGAAAATCGCGAAAAGGATGGCATGGTGTGTGGGCATGCATGTTGGCATTGCTTTTCTCATGATTGCCCAAACGCGTTTCAATCGTGCTACCATCAGGCAACTGTGCCTGGAACATTGTTTATTCACAGCGGTTTGCTATTGTGCGCATTGCCATTGCACAAAAAGTACTGTCTTTGCCTGCCTGCATTTGACATTTTAGGATGGTGTTCTCTTTCTCCCCTACTTTAGGCTGCTTCAGGCTCCTCTGGGTGTGTTTTTTGGGTTGACGATAGACTCAATTTATATTTAATGTGATGCATTTGCTCCTGGTGCTTTGGGGATTTTCCAAACTGTGCTATTAACCCGGTGTCACACAGGACACAAAAGCGCTGTCGCAGCCATTCTGCATGTACCTGAATTGGGAACTTCCGTAAAGTACAGTGTGCTTATTTGGGAGAGGTTACATCGCAGAGTTACGTGAGAATTTACAGTATCTGCAGACAAGTTCTTCGCAAAGAACAGTGAGTAATGCAGAGCTTGTGTATTGTGTTGTTCCCAGGTGCGCATATTGTTCGTGAGTGAGAGCAATGTATGCCGTTCTGTTTTGGCCGAGGCCATCTTCACACAGCTTGTGGAGGAGATGGGCATGGGCAATTTGCTCACCTGCGACTCAAAGGTACAACACAGGCTGTATCAACTTGTGCTTGCATCCTCTGCTTAAAAACACAACACACAAAAACAGGCCTGGGTGCCTGCCTAATGCCAAAAAGCTTCAGTTCCAAAGCATTGTCGTTAATATGGTAGAATTCTTTGTCTAGACTCACACACAGCTCACCAGCCTCTGCGAGTAGAGATCCATTGCCAACATGCCTGTTTCATTTTTAGATGACCTCAGGCCTTGCCACTGTCGAATGCAACACTCAGGTTTGCAACTCCCCTGTTCGTTGTTGACCAGACAGCCGAGTTGTTTATGAAGGGGAACAGTTCATGCCCCCAAGGTACCACTGCCGCACATAGGCTGTGGGCTCTTCGTGTGCTGCAGGAGATGATGCAGAAGCTGTAAAGACAGCGGAACACAGCAGCAATCCTATGTTTGCTTTTTTGTAGGCTACAGCTCTGATGCATGCATGAAGGAAATTTATTCCTGCCACAGCTGATTGGGAATCCCTCATATGCCAGACAAGTGCAATATAAAACAATGGTTCCTTCCTGCCCAGCACTGCCTGTTGCTGTGCTGCATCAGCTCTATTGTACTCATCCACGCTGCAGTTTCGTCTGCTTTTGGATTCGTATTCTCTGCCGATTGCTTTTTTGACAATCTGCACACCGACCTATACCCAGCGCCCCTTGCAGGTGCAGACGCCGTATTTCGCCACTGTTATGCGAATGCAACCAAGCACTAGACAACTACATTGCTGGCATGAATTTGACAGCATAGCCATGCCCCACAAATTTGATGCTATGGTGACGCAAACAGAAGAACACATTGCACAAGCAGGTCTGAGCTATCAACTTGCATTCACCCGGGAATGCTGTGCTTTTAGTTGGTGCATGAAACAGCTGCCCGCTCTTCGCGCTCTATTGGCCAACTTGCACCAGATCCCACTAAGTGTACAGACTTGTGGCTTGAATGCAAATTGTTGCTTTAGAGTTTATCGTAGCGCAGCCTGCGACTGGTTGACAACGCAACAGCTGATGTCCACTACAAGGCTTTGATCAGTGTCTTGCACTCAGGGCAGTCGCGACTACAACTTGGGTGAAGGACCTGAAGCGTCCGTCCTCCAGGCTGCTGAGGACTTGGGTATTGTTCTTCCTGAGGGCTTTCAAGCGCGTATGGTTGACCACGCTCGGGACATCGTCATTTATGACCTGCTCCTGGCGATGGACAAATTCACCTCAGCAGATGTGCTCCGTGAGGTGAGTCAACTGATGAATCTGTAACTTTTTTTATTGTTTGTTTGCCCTTTTACTACTTGTTTGTATAGCTGAATAGGTAAGTAATGCGTTATCAATAATTGGTTTGTGATCGTTTGCTGGTACTACTTATGTCTCTATCTGCCATCTATTTGTTTGTCCATTTATCCACATGGTTGTTTGAATTGATCCATCTTATTCCTCCACTTTTTGCAGGTGACATGGCAGCAAATAGGTTGAAGGTGCTTTCTGTTCAGCTCGAGAATTTTGCGCATTTTCCATGCAGGCTGTTCTGAATGAATGTTGCATTGCCACACAACGATCCCTTCGTTGTTTTCTTGTCTTGTTGCACTTTCAAAAACTGCATGATCTATTCAAACATGAAGATTGTGAAAATGTGATGATGAAAGAATGAAAGTGTGGAAAAAGTGCTACATGATTCCTGCTCTAGAGGGTGGTGCCGGTTCCATGGCCTGTTTTGGTGCTTGTTGGCAGTCCGACTAAATATTCAAAGTAATTTGGCAAAGCATGGTGGCAATGCCGGGTGTTGCTGCTGAATAGCGATGTTAAAACAGCGTCAGATACTGCAAGTCTACAACTGCCTCACAGCATTCTGGAATGTCGTCTCCTGCATCTTGAAGCAACAGCAGGCGGACTGTGCCTTTGTCCAAACTCACGCAAGGCACCATGTCCAGCAAGTAGTTGTATTTTGTAATGGACCCAATTTGGACCTTCAGGTTTCAGAATTTGTTCATCATGTGCTTGACAATATGCATTTGGACATGTGCCCCCCGTCGCGCTGCGTATTCAAGACCTGGGTTTTACCACTTCTGTTTGAATGTAATCAAAGGACTTACACACGAGATTGTGCGCTGCGAGAGGTGTCTGTGTACGACACAATTGCACGTGAGGGTGGCTACTCGATGAAAGTGCGCAGGCTGGGAGAGTTCCACCCAGTCCTGGCAAAGAGCCTGGACTCGGAGGGGCAGGACATTGACGATCCACTCTATGGCAATGTCGGGGGCAGCGAGGAAGTGGTGGGTTTGTAAATTTCGAGCGCTCTCTATTTTCAGCTGTCCAGAACAATCTATATTCATTGCTGTGCAGTGAGCGTTCGTTATCATCCATTAGATGTTCTCTATTGTTCATTAAATCGGTATCAACGCCTCAAAATGTACTGCTGTCCAAAGCATATGAAACTCTGCGTTCACTCTGTGGATGAACAATCGTAGTTGCTGCCTTGCGGTCCAGCGCAGGATTGCGCAGAACAGCGAAGCGCGTGCTCTGACAGTACATTCCAGCAGTCTTTGGTCACTGCTGCCCATTTTGCGGAACTTTTGGACCATTGGAGACGCTATTCGTCTCCATATGTGCGCATCCAGCCCACGCAAAGTACACTTGCCGTACATTGTGTAGAATCCAGAGATACAGTCAACAGCACATTTGTTGGCACCGTTCTGACCTTGAGACGTAGTTTCAGCCTGCCTGAACTGACCAGCGGCTCGTGGAATGAAACGCAGGAAGCTGTGAAGAAAGCCGCGCGCATTATTGAGGCTGCTTGCCTCGGCCTGATGCAGTTCTTTCAAGACCTCCAAGAGCAGGCGGGGGACGATCCGGCAAAGTTCAAGTCGTTGGTGTTGGAGTCCGTCAGGGGCATGAAAGAGATGGATTGGCTTGTGCCGCCAATGCTGCAGAAGAAAAAGTGAGCCGGCGGCCTCTGTGTTCCTCCAATCGATTGCGTGGCTGGCGCGTATGCGCAGGGTGGCAAAAGGACGTATGCATTTAGCAGATGGTTATTTTGCTCTCTGTAGAACTCAACGGGTAGAATTATGTAATACTGAATTATGCTCACAACATGCACTACCGCTTGTCTGCAGTCTACTGCGACCATACCGTATAACGAGTTGTGCGAGAAATACACCATTGTGATACCCGCCATAAAGCACCATAGTGTGGTGGTGCATATGCTTACAGGCTGCCATGAGTCTGCTCTAAGCAACCGGCGACGTTGGCTCTTCCGTTGAGACTGAAACCTTGCAGCGCTCTGACACTTCAACACCCCAGAAGCGCAGGCAGAGACATAAGCACAGGCTAAGGCACTCGCCAATGGATCAGGGCGGCTTTGCTCTTGTTCTGTCAAGCACCGACCCTTCTGTGGCGCACATTTGCCTCGCCCCTTTTGAGCTATTCAACGCGACCCCAACACCCGCCAAAACTCCTTCCGTCTTGTGTACTTGGATGCTACAAAAGGGGGAGGTATCTACCAAACCATCTGACAACCGATCAGAAAAGGCAACTGATCCACTGCTGCACGATGGTCGCGGCGTTTTACTGGCTGCACAGAAATATCCGGAGGCCCACACTCAGCATTGGGACGCGACTCTGTGTAACGACTTCCGCCAGGCTCAGCATGCTTGCTCATACGGTGACTTCGTTGAGTCTCTCGAAATCTGTGTACATTGTCCATGATCACCAAGCAGCGGGAAATGCGACATTCTGGGGCTTCGAACAAAATAGCCCGCAACACACCAAGTTGGGTATCCACAACACCAAAGTACTCGCCAAAATGTGTGTTGTCAATCCGATACGGTGGTAACACAAGAATAGCAAGTTTTCTCCTAGCGAACATTGTAATCTTTGGCTCTTTCCCTTGATTGCTGTTGTGGAGGTGACACCTTGCAAACACTGCAGATTCTATAGCGAGCCCTTTTCGCTCTTTTCTCAACCTGCTGGCTTGGACTGCTGCAGGTATGCACCCCTTTGACCAATTTGTCCAACCGTGTCGTCATCATGTCGAATTGTTCCTGCCTCCTTTCCTCCACCTTCTCATTCTCCCTTTGCCATGATCCTGTTGCAGCCAAGAATCGCGCTCTTCTGGCCATGCCTCTTGGCCTTGCTGCTTCAGGACTATCAACATCCGTACACGCTCGCCAGTGTTCGTGACTTCAGAGCGTCCAACGAAGGAGACAGGGGAATCTGGGACATATCCTGACGATGCCGCTGAAAAGAAGGTTCCTCGAAATGTCCCGACCCCACCAACAATAGCTCCCGTCAATTCCCACCCGAAATATTGCCCGGACTCCTGCCAACGGCGCTTGCTGTCTGTCGGCGTCGACAGGGAGGGTGGCGCCCCCTGCCAACGCGGCCAATGGCTGGCGCTTGTCTCCCCGCTGCAGCCTTGCACCCTGTCCCTCCCGCCACCGTCTTTCTCCTTGCGCAACTTTCCATGCTTTTTCCTGCGCGCCCACCCACTGTGCGCGCCTCGTTCCCCCCTCCAGAGGTCCTCTCTCCCTGCATGGGATCTTCTCAGGGGTCCCAACCTCCGCCAAAGTCAGCTGATTTGAAGGTCGCAGAGGGGTGCGCCGTCGAAGGTCGGGACCCCAGCCGTCGCAAGGAGCCCCGACGACCGGCCCTCGCTCTCCTGAGACAAAACCCGTGGATGCCGCCCAATCTTGCCCATCTCCCTATGACCACGTGCAGGGGGTGTGGCCCCCATCAATGCAACCAAAACTGGCTGCAGGTACCTCGCCAGATCCTCTTCAAGGTGCCCAGGTTCTCTAGATCCAAGGAGGCGTAGTGAGCGATCCGGAGCTGCACCGATTGGCTCACTAAAATTGCGCGTGCTAGAGCGCTTACGCAGCTCACGCATGCTGATCACAACGGCGCTTGTGACCTGGGCTATCCAAAAGGATGCTGCTTCTTACATATTGCTGCATTTTATGCCTGTTAAAACCGCTTCATGCGTTTGAACAAACACTGCAACCAGTAGACGCGAGGTTGCATGGTTTTCGTGCTGCAGAGCATGATTTCCAATCCAAAGGTAATCGCTATGCAACAGTTCAACACTGTTCGATTACCTATAAAGACTGTTTGAAACGCTTACTTTCCGACCGACGTGTGCAAGAAGGGGTGATGCAATGTAAATAGGCTGGATGCGCTATTTCCATGCGAATAACCGCTGCGGATTTTCAATGACCTCGAGGTAGTTCACGATGTCCAGTTGATTCCATGCCTGAATTAAATCATGCACACCTTAATAGCCCTCAGCAAACGGTGATGCTGTTCCTGGCGACAGAAATGGGCATCCTCTGCATGTGTATGGCCCATATGCAAGTCAAAGTCTCAATGTTCAACGTCATGAAATGGTGGTTTCAAAAATGCATGCTTTCATAACACTATATCACTGACACTGCTTTGGGGAAAATGGTATAAAGTTCAGCACTTTACAGTACTTTCTTGTTCTAATTTGTCCTGAAAGGGTGTCCACTGCTGAATTAGCGGATTAAAACTGCACAGCGCCCCAATGAGGACTCAGTAACCCCCACCTGAAGTTCAAGAAATACGAAATACCCCTGGCGACTGCAAAAATCACTCCAGCCCCAAGCGTAGATGACATCAATTGCTATGTGAGCTGGTGAATGCAGCCACATTTGCCAGTGTGCTTGGTATGGACTTGGCCATTATCCTTTCCAAATCCTGTATGTCCATCTTCAAAACCCAGATGGGGCTGACCAGTTCGATACCCGCAGACACTGAAAAGCGCGAGCAAGTGCCTCGCAATAGACAACAGTCGCAATGCGCAATTACAACCGCCTCATTGATTCGAAAGTCAACGCTCCCGTCGCTGCCACCCCGCGTGATGGCATCGCCCACGCCGGTGTGCAGCCAAGTGCATGTCTGCCAGTGTGCACGCCTGCCCTTCGCAACGGTTGGGATCATTGTCGTTGGCAAGGCGCGCGGCACAACGCGGCTTGGCCAGCGCTGAGAGCCGGGTAAGCAGACGACGCTACCCTGTGGAGCTGCCTGCAGGCCCTTGGGACCCCCAAGGGCACCAAAATTGGGAGATTCTCTGGTTAAGAGCGCCTTAGCGGGCACCTGCTGCTCGCCCCGGGTGCGCTTACGCCTGGCATCGGCACAATGCGCATGGATGCGAGCCCTCGAGTGTGCTCTCGGAGCTCTCGGGTGTCCACAATTTTTGACGCCTTTGCACAAACGCTGTGGTCTGCCTCGGAGCGCGGCGCCGACGCCAGGGAAGCTGAGATCCAGGCGGGTGGAAATGTTCACAGTCCCTGGACTTTCTAATCAGAAAAATGCTTCCCAGATCTGCAGTAGAGTGGGGCGATGGCCGCGCCGAAACGAATCTGCCTGAGCACGGCATGCGGGGGGCTCCGGCTGTTTATGACGAGTTGAGGGCAGAGACAGAGGGAAGGTGGGATTGAGGCCTTTGAGATCAGAAACCTCAACCGATGTGGCGGGATCCCTCCACCCAGGACGGCTCCGCAACCATCTTTGGCGGCCGAAGCCCAAAAACACACTAGGGGAAAAGGGCCAAATAACACGTGTTCAAACGTGTACAAAGTTTACGGGTTTGTGTTATTTTTGTGTTCTTAGCATGCAGAACCTTGATGAAATGTGTTTTATGTGTGTTCGAAAAATGTTATTTGGTCCTTTTTTTGGTAGCGACACTGCACGCGCCAGCATCCGTAGTCCGCGATCGCGGAAACCTCGCCTATCCAAACAGATGGCCCACTGACAGTCAGCCCACGAAGCCCAGGGCCGTCAGGCTGCCCCGGTAGGAGGGACCCAGCAACTTGACACTGGGCCAGGGAAGTTGGCACCCAACTCATGCACCCGTAACTTGTATTGAGGGGCAGGCGGCCACACCAAAGCGTGTCAGAAGCTGCCTTCGGCGGGATGCAACACGGTGCCTCGCGGAAGCGAAGCCAAGGTTCAATCATGATCTTCATTAACAAAATACCACGCTCGAAGTCAGGTTTTGCACGCATGGGCATGTACTTCCAGGTGTCTTTCTAACAGGACCTACGCAGATAGCTTCGTGGAACCAAGTGAACGAGTGGGTTCGTCGCTGCTCCAGGCCCGGCGATTCGGCTTCCGTTTCCTCCAACATCCTAAAGATATCCTTTTCGGGAACTGGGCTGTGTCCCTGGCTGTGGTGGGGCAGGACTCTGTCAGACATTTGCAGCCCGCGGCCTGGGGCTGACTCCGAGTTGGGCAACTGTTTGGACAGGTGAGGTTTCCACGAACAGGACTCGCGAGGCCAGAGCTTCCATCTTCTTTCTGGATTGAGGGGCGCCGGAGATCATTGCGGAGCCGATCCCAGATGCCGGGGAACCCGTCCTATGATGACGTCATATGATGGGTCCGCGATGTCAAAGGTCACGATCCCATCTTCACTTCCTGCCTCCAACTGGCCACGGACTGCCGGAAATCTGCGCAACCCGCTTTCCTATAAGTTCTTTTGCTGACGCGGCCTTCGCCCCACTCATAGGGCCGTTTCCCAGAACAGGAATCATGCAGTTCAGGAACTCCGGCCACTTCTCCCCGCCTGGATCTCAGCTTCTCGGGATCAGGGCCGCGTCCTGGAATAGCCCTCCGCGCTTTCATGACGTCGTCGAAATTTGTGGTCACCCGACAGTTCCGAGACCTCACCCGAGAGCTCGCATCCATTCCTGCGTGGCCAGGCGCAAATGGCACCTGCCGCGAGCGCAGGTTGGGGGGCCTCCCCAAGTCGGGGCCCCTGAGCCCGTGTCGCGGCTGAGCGGTGGAGGGTGGTTTCAGAACTTCGACGTTGCCGAAGAATGTTCCGTGGAACCCCTGGCCAGGGGTGTGGACATTAGATGCTGGCGCTTGCACTGTGGTTGGGCTGTTGGGTGCCCGAGCCTAGGGCCCCGCGGTCGCTTCGGAC